CTAGAAGCTAAACCAAAATCCATGGATTTTTTTATATTTTTGCCGTTTAAAGTAGCTTATCCAAAAACAGTATTGAAAAAAATTAATTGAAACAATTATGAACAAATTTTGAAACAGTAAAAAAATTCGAAATTTTTCTATGCAAAAATAGATAATTTAAAAGGAGTATGCACTGGGGCAACAGGTCTAAGGCAACAGGTCAGAAATCGCGCCCCAGTAAACGTGAGATTTTAGAAAAAATTCGCTGCTGAATTATTTGGCTGAGCATCAAACTTTTAAACGGGGGGGGGGGGGCAAAAAAAGCAGATCGCGAATTATATTTCAGGAGTTTCTAAAAAAAATTAGAGGTTGAAGTAGAACTAAAGCAGTTAATGCTTTTAAAAAATCTGTATTATTTCTTCTATAATTTCTGAAACAGTCAAATATTAAGAAAAATGGGGCCACAGCACATAGCCCATTAAAGTTGCATCTATCTTTGAGCTCAATTATCTCGGCTCCCATAAAAGATATCAAAATTCAGTCAACTGATAAAATGTTTATCATAGTATCACTAAAATTTTATCAGTTTATAACTTTTTGATATCTCTTACAGAAGCTGAGATAATTGAGGTCAAAGTTAAGTAGTCGGCAGCAAACCTAAACTGCTAAGCTCAGCCTTTTTTAACTTTCAGCTCATATATCTCATTTCCTGTGAAAGATATCAAAAATTTGTCAACTGATAAAATGATTATCATGATATCACCAACATTTTATCTGTTAACAAATTTTTGATATCTTTTAAAGGAACCGAGATATTTAAGTCCGAATTTCAGGTTATAATATTTCCGTTGCTTTCTAGCTTTTTTAATGTGTTCCATTTGAAAAACACGAACATTATCATTAATCAGAGTGCTTGCTGATAAGAAAAAACATGTTGTTGATCAGATGATCTCGAAAAAATGGGAGAGATAGATTTTTTTATGTTCTTTTGATTTCTTTGGATTTCTGAGATTTTAAATTTCAGAATTTCCGGAAATACCTGATTTTCTGAAATTCAGTAGTTGATATTTCTTTTCCTAATTTTCAGAGATTAGAAATTTTCCGATTTCTCTAAAATCTTTTTTGAATCGGTTGACTGATTCAAAACTTGTTTTCTTCCTTTTTTTCATTTTTCTGAGTGAGAGAAAATTAATTTTCCCCTTTCTTTTTTTATTATTTATAGCTATTTTTATTGTTGTTTCATCTGCTGAAAGCATTCTAGAACATTCTAGTTGGCAAGTGAATCAAGAAAATGAGAGCTGTGTTTGTAGTTTGTAGTCTCCTTCTTCAAGATTACTGTATTAAGGAAATTCCTGTTTCAAAATAGCTTTTAAAATTGCTCAATTTTCCATGAATTTAATAGGTTCTGCAATAACGTTCGCCACTTTTTTCAAATATTCATTTTTTAACATAGAAAAAAAAACGGAAAAAGAAAGGGCTCTTTTCTAGTTTAGAGGTCCCAAAAAAGTTTAGAGGTCCCAAGAAAAAAGAGAGGTCCAAAATTCGAAAAACGCACAGATGTTGGAATAATGTACTAGAATTTGAACTGTGTGAGTTGTTTGAGTTTTGTGGTCTTATAGGATGATATGACTGTTCCTAACAATTTTAGCTCCAATTCTCTCGCATCTTGCTGATGAACCCCAATTTACATATGAGGAAAATTTGGGCAATACAGTAATCACTCCGTGATTATGCTGTCTCTCAGGCTTAGATAATTGTCAGAAAATATGCATTTCTAAGCTTATTAGAAGTATAAAATATATCATCAACAATTATTTTGCTATAAGACCTCAAAACTTTAATTTCTTACACAATTCACATTCTAGTACATTATTTCAGCATCTGTGCATTTTTAAGTTTTGGACCACTATTTTTTCTTGGGACCACTAAACTTTTTTGGGACCTCTAATTTTTTTTGGGACCTCTATTTTATTTTGGGACCTCTATTTTATTTTGGGACCTCTAAACTAGAAAAGAGCCAAAGAAAGTTTCTTGGATTTCAAAAACACCGTAAACACTATAATAAAGCTTTTTGATAGCTTTTGAAAGAAAAAAAATGTTATGGGATTAATAATTTTTGTGAAACATAAACATTTATTTATTATTTGACTACAAAGACTACAAACTACAAAAATAGCTCTCATTTTCTGGATTAACTTGTCAACTAGAACGTTCTAGAATGCTTTCAGAAAATGAAAAAAAACACTAAAATAGCTATAAATAATAAAAATGGAAGCGGAAAAGGATGAATAAAGACGTGAATTATTTTTATCAGGGTTTTTCATGCTTTGCAGCTCCCTAATCTGCACCCCCTACGTTGGTTTTTTTTACCTGTTTTTGGCATATATCTTAAGAACGAGTGATTTTCGGACTTTCCTCCAAGAGAGTTTTCTTCGCGACCCGAAATTCTGGATCGATTGATATAAAAATCTCAAAAATTTGATTCCATTAGCTTTAATATTTGGCTCAAAAAAAAAACAATTTGCGTTTACAGTTTTTCTAGAAAACAAAACAATATACTGAATATTGCATATTGAATACAGAAGAATAAAAGCTGCGGATCAATTAAAATTACTGTTTCATAGTCCAATCATTTTTTGAAACAGTAATTTTCATTAATTGAATTCCTGCAGACTTAAATTTAAAATTTTAGTTCCTATATGTTTTTATCGAATAGAGAGAATTTGCAAATTTCTCTATTTTTTGCTCATTTTCAGAGCCAAAAACTGGAAACCAAATTTTCTGAAAATTTCTCACCGAAACCGAAAATTTACCAACAAAGACAACACTTGATATTATATAAACAAAGTGGAATTCGTTGTGTCGGAAAGTTTCAAAAAACCTCCATAATGTAAAATCCAGTGCAAAACTTAAATTTTTTTTCAAGATTTCGAGCAAACCCAATTTCTCTGACCTTTTCGGAGAATTTCAAATTTTGCCCATTCGTTGCCAATCAGCTTCAAATTTGTCAAAGTTGGCCAAAAATTGGGACAAAATTTGCACAATTCAAAAATTAATGTTTCTATTTTGTTGAAAAAAAAAATTATTTGATAACGAACTTCCATTTTCAATTTAGAAATTTTTTGAAAATCAAACCGGAAGAAAGAAATTCTAAAAAAAGTTTTTTTTTGTTTTTTGTTCTTCCCCAAAACAAAAAATTTTGCAGTTTTTTGTTTTGAAGACCTGTCTACATATTTTCCTTCTTTTTTCTCAATAATCCTGTGTTTCCTTGATGTCCCTAACCCCCCCCCCCCCCAAAAACACTTCCATATAAGCCCCCCCCCCCTCATTTTTTCTCTGCGTCTCTTCATCTATGTTCCATCTCTCACTCTTCAATTTCCGCTTTAAAAGGTGTGGTATCCACACAAAGCCTCTTTTTTCTCCTATTTTTCACAAAAATGGGAGGAAAAAAGTTTTTTTTTGTCATAGAAAAATTTGCTATTCTCATAGCCTCCCCCCATATAAAAAAGTGTGATTTATTCATTTGCCAATGAATAAATTTGTCACTTTTTACCTTTTTTTTTTCTTCATATCCACCTCCTCAAATTTTCCTTTTTTATATGTATTAAAGGTGGGGAGACATGAAAAAAATAATGTTCTCGAAATTCCGTTTAAATATGCCTCTCGAGGAGTTGAACTTGTGAGGGCGATGATTGAGGGTGCGGCGCCGCTACCGACTGAGCCACGCGGGCAAAGAGAAAGCGGACGCCCGATTGCATACATAAAGGCGAGGACGACAGCTGTACGCAGAGTGACATTAAGCGTTGTACACCGTGACGGTAGAATGCATACTCTAGCTACAAAAAAACTACGACAAATCTCCTGTCCCCCCACCTTTAAAAACTGAATTTCTGAGTTTCTTGATTTGGATAGGAATACCATAAAACCTTTATAGGAAGGCCCGGCCCTCACATTACAGGGACCCTTCAATTAGAGGGGTCCTTCTATTTTTTTGGCCAGTTTTTTCCGAAATTTAGCATCTAAAAAATCGATGAAGTTTCGTTAGAAATTCATGAAAATCAGCTAATTTCACCAAAATTTGCAAAATTTTCATCGAAAAATAGAGTTTCTATTAAATTGCGGAGTTCCCGGAATATTTTCCACTGAAAAAGTACGGAAATTTTGGGGGCCCTTCTATTACAAGGGGGGGGGGGGACTTCTAATACAGGTTTTATGGTATCCCGAAAATTCTTGAATTTTTCATGAAATTTTCAGATGTTTCAATTTTCTGAAAAATCACAAAGTTACTGTTTCAAAATTTTGATTTGAAATGTCTAATGTCAGAAAGTTTAATCCAACATTCACAAAATTGTTGTTTCAAAAAAATCGTTTAAAAAAGCATTTGCAGTTTTTATCATCTTTGGTAACTTTTCAGCTAGATATTTTTTTTTGAATTCCGCTAAATTTTTTTCGATTGTTCAAAAGTTTTTCGAAAATTCCCAAATTTGTAAACTCTCTGAATTTTTCGAAAATTTCGATATTTCTCAAAGTTGTTATAGTCAGAAACCTTAAAGGTGGGGGGACATGAAAAAAATAATGTCCTCGAAATTCCGTTCAAAAATGCCCCTCGAGGAGTTGAACTTGTGAGGGCGATGATTGAGGGTGCGGCGCAGCTACCGACTGAGCCACGCGGGCAAAGAGAAAGCGGACGCCCGATTGCATACATAAAGGCGAGGACGACAGCTGTACGCAGAGTGACATTAAGCGTTGTACACCGTGACGGTAGAATGCATACTCTAGCTACAAAAAAAACTACGAAAAATCTCCTGTCCCCCACCTTTAAAATAAGCATTTTAAAAAAAAGTTTCCGTTTCAAAATTTGAATTTAAGCATTCAACCGTTTCAATTTTGATGTTTCCATTTTAAAATTGAGATTTTTTTTCGTTTTTTACATCATTTTCCAGCTTCTTTTCTCAGATTTTCTTTTTTTCACAAATATTAGCCAAATCTTTAAATGTTTTTCTTTTCAGAATAATGAGAAAATGGACACGATAAGTGATCGACATCACCGATGTCTGTTCGGATGGGTTCATGTATCAGTAAGAAAAATTTTATTTTAAAAAATCAATAAAATAAGCTATATCGAAAACTTCGAACATTCTAAAAAATTAACTTTTTCATTCTGAAAAAATTGCTGTGTCAGAAAAATCACAATTTTGAAATTAAAAAATTTTGCTCAATTTGGCTCCGAAATCTATAATTTTCAGTCAATTTTCACCAGATCAGGGACCATGGGCAAGGAATGGGCAAATTTTCAAACTTTCTAAAATGAGTAAAAATTGGGCTCAAAATATTTTTGAGAATCACGAAAAACTCGGATTTTGTACCTAAATTTATCTTTTGAGGGTTTTTTGCGATTTTCACAAAAATTATAATTTTCAAACAACTCTACTTTTGCCTCAAAAAAAGGTTGAGACGCAGAGAAAAAATGACTGCGTCTCCACCTAACATGTGCTATTTAGGCTCGCCGCTTCGAGATTCCTACCGTATTCAGACTGCAAGAAATACTCTCAAACCTTCTTTTTTTCGGACAACAATAATACCGATTCAGTAAAAACAAAAATTACTGTTTCAAATTTGGAATTTTTTGAAAAAGCGATTTTCCCAATTTTGCAGACAACCATCCGCCTAATCCTGGCCTATTTCGTCGTGTTCAATGTGGGATTAGGCCTTTTAGGCCTTCCATGGTTCAGTATCTACATTGGCCTTTTCGGCCTGCTTTTATGCTTTTTCACATGTTTTCATGTGTACAAAAAGAATGATAGGATGATGTTTCCCTTCTATCTTTATGTGGTGAGTTTTTTTTTTTCAAAAACTGCTCTTTTTTAATCGAAATATAGGAATTTCAAAGATTTTTTTTTGTTATCTTGACAACTACCGAATGTTTGAAATTTTCAAAAAATTTAAAAAATTATTTTTTGAAACAGTGAAAAAAAAATTTTTCCTAAAAATTACTGTTTCAAAAACTAATTCTAAAATCCAATTATTTTTTCAGCTTTTCACAATATTCTATTTACTATTTTTGGGCGGATATTTTTTCTTTGTCAACATATTTCATAAGGAAATGGTCAAAGGTAATTTTTTTTAATCGATTCAATTAATTGGTCAAAAATCAAATTTAGCCTAAAATTATTTTCTGGTTGTGATTTTTTGAAAAAAAAAACTAACATTTTCTCTTTAATGAGGGTAGAACAATTAAATTCAGCAATATTGAAAAGAAAAATTGTGAAACAGCAAAAATGAAAAATTTCTGTGGAAATTTCAAAGCGAAATCAGGCGAAAAGGGCGAAATTTATGTTAAAGTTTTTCTGAAATTTCAGTTTTTCTCTCAATGATTTGAATATAAGTTAATGAAAGGTCACATTTTTTGGAAACCTAATGATCCTGCACACATTGAAACTTTTTCCAGAAAATTATATTTTAACAAATATTTTGAAACAGCAATTTTGGTAAAAATCTTCAAAAAAAGATTCAAATTTGAAAAGGGAAATGATAGTCAATATGGATTCGGAAGCCGTTGAAAATTGTGAAACAGCTATTGTTGAAATTTTGAAACAGCAGTTTTTGTAAAAATGAACATTTTTCACAAATAATTATGTCAAAAAATTAATTTTTAAATGAGAATAAATTGAAACAGAAATTTCTTTTAACACATTTTCGAAAATATTTTTAAAACTCAAAAAGAATTTAAAAAATCATTTTTCAGTCATTTTTTCGGAAAAATATAATCTCCCAAACTTCTAAAGCAAAAGTTCGTATTGACAAATGTTTAATTATGGATGACTCTATTGCGAATCAATTAAGAAATAATTGATTGAGAAAAAATTATATGAAAATTTTGAAAGAGAAATTGTTTGTGAAAATTGAATTTTCCGTTTTTTAAAATATTTTCTAATACCGTAAAACCTGAATTAGAAGGGCCAGGTCCTTCTATTGTTCCAAGGTACCTCTGCAGAGCCCTTCTATTACAGGGGCTCCTCAATTAGAGGCGGCCCTTCTATTTTTCCGGCTAGTTTTTCAAAATCTGCCAATTTCACCGAAATTTAGAAAGATTTTTATCGAAAAATAGAGTTTCAACAAATCGTTACTATTAACAAACACCAAATTCTGTGTGTGAGTGTATCCGTTTGTTCCCGGTTAGCGTAGCCTGAGCCTCTCTTAATTCCTTTTTTAATCTTCAAGTTTCAGATATTTCGAATTTCGGTTTTTCCGAAAATCTGAAAATCCGAAAAAAAAGAAGGAAAACGAGCACGTTTCCTGAAATCCTTGAAGTATTAAACAATTTCCGAGTTCAATTTCTAAATTGTCGAACTTCAAAAAAATCTAAATGTTGTGATCCTGAATCGCCGAACTTGCCATTTTTCAAAATTAAAGGAGGCCAGACACCAAAAAAAAAAGTTTTCCTGATATTTTGCATAGAGAATCCCCATGCATAGAGAACCCCCATGAACTCATGACATGCAGCTCAGGGGTACAGCGCCGCTACCGGCTGAGCTACGGGGGCGCGAAGGCGCCTGACGACCGATGGTCTACATAAGCGCGGCGCGATTTCGGCCCCCGAACTGCCCCCGAAATTTTTGGCTCTTTTCTAGTTTAGAGGTCCCAAAAAAGAATAGAGGTCCGAAAAAAGTTTAGTGGTCCCAAGAAAAAATAGAGGTCCAAAACTTAAAAATGCACAGATGCTGGAATAATGTACTAGAATGTGAATTGTGTAAGAAATTAAAGTTTTGAGGTCTTATAGCAAAAATAATTGTTGATGACATATTTTTATTTTTCTAGTAGGCTTAGGAATGCATATTTTCTGACAATTATCTAAGCCCGAGAGACAGCATAATCATGGAGTCATTACCGTATTGCCGAAATGTTCCTCATATGTAAATTAGGGTTCATCAGCAAGATGCAAGAGAGTTGGAGCTAAAATTGTTAGGAACAGTCATCCTATAAGACCCCAAAACTCAAACAACTCACACAGTTCCAATTCTAGTACATTATTCCAACATCTGCGCGTTTTTCGTATTTTGGACCTCTATTTTTTCTTGGGACCTCTAAACTTTTTTGGGACCTCTAAATTTTTTTCGGACCTCTAAATTTTTTTGGGACCTCTAAACTAGAAAAGAGCCAAATTTTTGCTGTCTCGCCTCCTTTAATATTTGAAGTATTCAGAAATGACTGGATCTTCCAGTTCTCGAATTATAAGAATATGTGACTTTTTGAATTTCGTTCTTTCTGAATTTATGAACTTGAAGTTTTTACTCTAAAAAAATGCACAAATTCAGCAATTTGGAAATTCGAAGTTTTGTTGATTCCGGAACAGTACATCAGAACTTCAGAAAATGTTGAGATTGGGCCGGGTTAGAGAAAAATTTTCCCGATCCGGGTTCTTAATAATTCAAAATTTTTTATTTTAGGTACATATTTTATTAAAATGATCATTTTAAAGCACGAAATTTAGCCCAGAAACCCTTCTTAAAACTGAGCACAAAGAAAATTTGATAAAACGTTTTCAAAAATACAGTTTTCTCTCAAAAAACTACTCTTTAAAAATTTTGCCTCGAAATCCTGGGCCAGCCGGGCCGGCCCGGCCTGCGACATGTATGTATATTGGGAATATTTCATTTTCTTCATTTTCCAAGTCTCGAGTTTCTTCCGAATTTTCGAATTTCGGAGTTCCAGCTTTCGACTTTCAACACGTTGAAATTTTCAAATTTCCAGGCATTAGAATTTCAAAATTTTAAAATTTCACACTTTTAAAATTTCGAAACCCTTGGCTCAATAATTTCGATTATAACTTTTTTGAATTTTCTTTTCTTTTCAACAGTTTCATAACGAAGACAAGACATAAAAACAATAATTACGAGCATTGCAAGCGGGAACCGAGAAGTTTAGTCCCGAAAGGGCGCAAGCAGACTGCCAGTCAAGTTCAACAAAAGTTAATATTTCGTAATTTACTAAAACTAAATGTTTTATGTATTTCCCTCCGGTTTTGAAATTCGAACGTTTTATGTGAAGCCAGGAGATTGTAGCCTCCGACAGGCGGCGGAAATCGACTGGTTTCTATTAAATTGTGGAGTTCCCGAAATATTTTCCACTGAAAAAGTACGGAAATTTTCTGATTTCAAAACACATTTCTAAGGGGGCCCTTTTTCACAGAGGGCCCTTCTAATACAGAATTTACGGTATAAGTTAATGAAAAAACATAGTTTCAGTTGTAAATAAAACAATGAACATTTTTCCAGGAAATTATTTGAAACAAGAATTTCGAAGCATGAAATTTTTTTTCTAAAAATTGAAATTTCCAGAAGCCCTTGGCGACCATTCCGACTCAATTTCCTTTATCTGGCATTTTGCTGATATCGTCCTGATAATGGTCCATGCTTGGGCGCTTAGTGTTGTTTCAAAGTGTCGAAAATATTTCCGATGGGTCGCAGAGGGTGGTCAAAAAGGTGAGCAATATGTTGTATTGAATTGTGTGTGTGCAGTAGAGCGCACTTACTAACTCACTAATAGACTCAGTGTGTTTTTTGTGGAATTAGACACCTTTTTTAATACAGAATTAGAATTAAGAATTTCAATTAATTTTCTCAGTTTTAGCTACCGTTAACTTCCAGCTTAATTATCTCGGTTACTGTAAAAGATATCAAAAATCTATCAACTGATAAAATGTTGGTTATTTTATGATGAACATTTTATCAGTTGACAACTTTTTGATATCATTTACAGGAATCGAGATAATTAAGCTTAAATTACGGTATCTCTTTTCTCAGTTCCTAGTGCTTCTCTTCTCCTTATTTTTCATTGTGATTATCATTCAAAATTCCAAAAAAACATTTCTAAAAATTTAAAGAACTTGTCCCAATTCTTCACTAAACAGAAAGTACAAAAGGTCGTCTGGAGACGTCGATGACTTTTGAACAGTCTAATTGCAGTATTCTCATGGGTAAGATTTCCAGAAATTATTGATTTTTTGATGGATATTGTGTATTTGGTTATCTTGTGGATAAAGAAAAAGTTAAGTTTCGTAATAAATGGTGGTTTTGTGGTATTAGGGATGTTATGTACAGCACCAAGATATACAAAAACATCACTTTCAGCAGATTTTTTGGTCATTTTGAGCATTTTCAAAAGCCTAGAGCTCGGCTGTCAAGTTTCCTATCACTTTGAAAATTTTGGTGGGTGTAAAACAGACCTAGATTGATAAGTTTGCATACACAAAATTTTTTTGAAAGAGTCTAGTTTTCCAGATGTTCGCCGGCTTTTGAAAGTCATCCCTTTTTAGCCTGTTTTTGTACTTAAACCTAAAAAATAGGTGTCTTTCAGAAATCGTCAAATAGCTCAAAAGCTAGAAATTTTCAAAAAAATTCTGTGAACACAGGGTAACGGCGGCGCATGGTATATGCGTTGGCGCGGCGCCTCATATGGACGACATAGGTACACCGTTCGCGCGCATATAGTACGCTACGCCGCTTCCATAATTCGTTTACAATTTCAGGTCGTATTGGCGATGGGAATCTCTTATATGGATTAGTTTATCTAGCTATAGTTGTAATAAGATGTGATTTTGTTCAGATCTTCCAATATCGTCCATGTTCCCTTTCAGATTTCACAGAGTGACCATTTTTCCAGTTTTCGCAGAATGATCTCACGGCAAAAAAACGATGAATTTTGTTTTTGATTTATTTGAGTTTCTCGGATTTTTTTTCTACTTTTACTTCGTAATAATCGGAAAACTTACCAACCAACCTGTATTTCACCTGAAAAATATATTATTCCGCTTATTCCAAAGTAAAACAGAAAAGTCCTCATTTCAAGAAAAAACGGATTTTGAAAAAAATTTTACCTATTTCTTTAGTAAAAATAAGTTTTATTTTCGTTAGCCATAATTTTTACATGTGAAAACAGTGAGAAGTTCTTTGAAAACAGGAAACATGGTCGATATGATCGAAAAATTGATCAAGATCGGCGGTGAAAAATTTTGCTAAACAACGCGCACTAGCGTAATAGCGGAGTGT